AATTCGCGCTTAAATTTTCTACACTTATGTAAAAAGGACGCGTAAAAAATATGTTATAGTTCCATTTCTCGGGTTATTGCTTGTTCTTTTCAAAAAAGTGCCCAAAAAATTATTTTTAAAACTATAAAAATATAGAGATTTTGCCTCTGATGAAGTCGTAATACAAAATTAATCTTTATAAAAAGGTTTATGACATTGTTTTTCAGAAAACAGTTTTTTGCATATAACCATGCTTGAAATTTTCAAAAAACTTTTTTTCTCTATAAAAGCGCCACAAATTTCTTTAAATTTTCTCCACATAGGAGATGTAAAAAATATTATTTGCTGAATCCCATTGGGGTATTGCCCTCGTTTCCCCCCTGAAAGGAAAATTGTACAGAAAAAAATTCAAAACTACAAATTGAAGGATAAGATTTTTGCCTTCAACAAAATCTTTGAACAAAAAGTAGCTCTTTTAGACAAGGTATGTACAAGTTTGTAAAAATTTAGTTATTTTTTTTTTTATAATTCTGTATGAATTACTAAGCATTAAGGGCGTACCTTGACATAAAACATAACAATCCCGAGAAAGTATGTGCTGTTGTACGAAAACCTCGAGTTCCTTCATAAAATCTGGTGTTCAAATCTTGAAGAATGTGATGAACCATTTTTCGAAAAAATGAGTAGTTTTTGCTTAACTTTGCGAGGAATTAAGGGATTTTTTAAAACATTTTCTCAAAACCCGGCTTCGACAATTTCCTTTAAATTTTCTTCTTGTATGCAGCAAAGAACGGTAAAAAGTGGCGCTAGTCCCAATCATCTGAATAAAGTCGAAAATCTGGTGAATCATTGAATTACGCAACTGATTATGCGACCTAAATAATAATTATTATCGATAGAATATACCGCAGAAGATTACTAGCACTGTATGTTGGAACCCGTCCCTAACTTCATTCACAGCAGAAGCGAAGCACATTCGTGTCGTCCACAAAGCAGGTAAAAGCCTTTTCGCCCAAAGAGGCAGCGGCTTTCGCACGATTAGGCGCCTCTTTTGCGCAGAAAAACTTTCCTAAGCCGCACGCCTTCTTTCAAAGGCACGTCAGAGCCCTGTCCGGGCCTTTCCGGGTCCACTGTCCCGACCCAAGGTGCGTCAGCGCACCACGTGTATTCACGCAACGTTTATTAATAAACAAACAAAAGGTGAGTGGTCCTCGTTATTGTAGAGAAGTACGAGTATCTGTTTTACGGAACGGATTCTTTCTAAACGCACACACTTAGAAACTGTGAACTTGTGAATTTAGTTTAAAATTCCAATGAAAATGCTATATTATTATAACAAATCACACTAACAGATAACTCGGACCGTAGTAAAAATGTGTTAATAGAAACATACTAGCAAAGATTAATACAAATCGTCTTTAAATTATTTAGGGGAAAAAATACTATTTCTTTGCGCACAACTGGCGGTAGCAGCAGAGCTGATGAAAACGCAAATAATATAATATTATAAATATATATTATAACACATAATTAACCACGTTTAAAAAAAATGTATAAAAATCAACAAACAAAAAATAATAATTTGTAAAGATAACACTTGTGAAATATTTTAATAACGAACAATGCAAACAACATAAAATATTATTTATAGCCTGGTTATCTACAAATTAAGCCTTTTCAGATGTTCTATTAGGTACCTCAGATCGAGGTTTACCTTCTGACTACCCCACTTCATAGCAGGGATGGTCATAAATAAGCAAAATCTTGAAATGAAAAATGAAGTCTCCAATGTGAAGTTCTGAGTATTTTAATTGCACAGTCTAAGCCTTTCCATTTGTTACTAAATGCTTACAAATATTTCAAAATTTACACGTTCACTATACCTGACCTATTTATTTTGTGTCAAAACATAGAAAAAAATTGTAAGTGATACTTGGGATGGAAAAAAAAGCAACATTTATCCTTCAGAAGCAAAACGTAAAGAGTCATATCAATATTTGCTTAATGGAACAAGTGACATGCAGAAAACTATTGAGGAGTCATTGACCTAGTAACTGATTAGTAAGTTGTTACAGACTATGATTTTAAGTTATTCAAACTTTTAAAATCTCTACAAATAAAATTGGAATGCCTTTCTGTAATTTCAAAATAACTGGGTTTTTGTACTCTCATTAATTATTTAGATGATGTAAAAACCAATTGAATTGTTTTTATAATTTTCGCCTGTGTGTGTTCCAGGGTAATCTCTTGAACAAACCAATTTCAATGCAGTCTTCGATGAAAGATACACATACTATTGTAAACTACACTTTTACACAATAGACTAGCCGAAGTACCTAGTATTGCCAGTAGGTTTATCAATCACAATGAACTATTAGACCCAGAAATGAATGGATTTCATGTAATCTCGTCCAATCATGCTGTGTTGCCTGCCTGATCTCACTCCGTCCCGTCATGCTTGCTATATCATTGTTGCTCCAGGCAGCTGTAAACTGAGGCTTTGTAGGCAATCTCCCAGCAGGAACATTTTCAATTCCATATAAATTAATATCTAATAATAATTGCATTATTAGAAGTAACCAAAATGTATTTACTGAAGAATTGTATGGGCTCTCAGAAACATTGTATTCACTTTGGTGAATTTATTCACTATCTTCGAGACATTTTGGAAAAACAAAGAGTGTACATTTAAGTTTTGCCCTAAGTGGCACGAAAGAGGGCTGTGGTAATTTTTATAAAATCCCATGCAGACAGTAACTTTTCTCTTGTTTTCAAGATAACACACAAAATTTTCGAAAAAAATGTAGATTGGAATGAAAAAGCAGACATTTATCTTGATATAAGAGAAAATAGTAATTTGAAAGAATAGTAGCCTATACCTAGATTTTTCTACAGTGACCGGTAACATTGTTATTGTTACATCTCCTGCCTAACAAAATGAATATTTTAATTAATTCATGAACGTCCTTCTCAACAGGGCTCATGTCCTCAAACGTGCTTACCTCTGTTAAAAAGATAGGCACAACATCCAATATACACAATAATCTGAGAAATGCTGAGAATGCTGGTACAGGTTAGTAATTTTAAATATTTGGGATACGATGCAACTTTCTTCATAGAAGTTTAGGTACAGGAAAGTATCCAAAAATTCCAGAAGACAGGTAAAAGCATTTGAAAAACTCTTAGAAGATAATTCATGCAGAGGAACTTCATGAGGATACATAAAAGAATGGCTCTCCCTTTGTGTCGTTTGGAAGTGAATGTTGGATTCTTAGGAAGATAAATAGGTACTACAGTCTGCTGAAATGAATTTCCAAATGTGTGTAAAGATTCACCAGGTTAGAGAGAATCAGAAATGAGGAAACAAGAAAAGAAATAAATGTTCAACCAATCAACAACAAAGGACTCTCTTCAAAAGAAATGGTTACAACATGTCAAAAAAATGAAATATTAAGCAGTATAAAGCAGACTACTATACACCCAAGGCAGACTACTTAAAAGATGGAAATCTTAGAAGTTGGAACATGTCATAGATTTCTCCTTGAAGTAGAGATTTTAACTCTCAAAACAATGATTTACAAAATGCAGATTTGCATGGATCCAAGTAATAAAATAAAAAATCATAGAATAGGAAGCAATAAAGGAATAAGATCATGACATAAAAAAAATTACATTGTGTTATACCAATCATGAATGATCATGAAATGACTAGTGACAATTCAACCAAAAAATAAAATCTCTAATTGCATTCTAACAATACAAATATGGGAAAGAAACATAAGTATCTTATTCTTTTAAGATAAATCTCAGATTTAAGATAACTCAGTGCTTTACTCCAGAACTAATGTAAAATGTAAAGCATCCATGTAAACTGAATCAAAGACTAAAGTAAAGTTTAAATACTTATTGAATATGTAAGTGTTTAACAATTAGCAAAAAGATGGAATTAAGGATAAAATCAGAAATCTCAAATTTAGTTTAAGACATCCTTTGGAAATACTACTCTAAAACTGAATTTTAATTTACAAGATTTTATGAAGTATGGAAGTATGATAATGAAATGATACTGATGAAATAAAATGTGTTTACAAAGAAATCAGTACTGGTATATATTAATGAAAGAATGAATAAAAATAAATCAGAAATGAAAAGAAATACACCCAAGAAATAGTAACACAATAACTTTCAAAAGGTTTTGAAACTATTTTACAGTTCCTTGAATGACACTGGCTTACTTTACGTATGATATCTTCCATTATCAAAATTAAGCACAGAAGTTAAGGACATTCTTTGTGTATAAATATAAATAGTTCTGGTATTTATTAATAAAAACATTAATATTTTAGACCGTCTAAAACTCACATTTTCACAAACTATGTACTTTCTAAACCTAACTATGTTTATAAAAATAGAGAGAGTTAATTAAAAATTATTCCTTCCACTGAGTTACAGGTATTAAGTAAACTCAAATTATATAATCTAAAAATAATAATGAACATTTTTGGGACCACTGAAAAAATAAACAATTGAACAAATTTTTTGAGAAATAAAACGGAAACTAGAACAAATGCCAATATATAATTTAAAATATTCAATCTGGTGTTACACCAGTTACAAAAATGAAACAATATTTATCATTTGTTTCATATCACAAATGTCCATTCTATAGGGAGACTATAAGAATGCAAAGCTCTAATAAAATGCACCAACTGACTGACTGCGACGTGATGAGACTTTACAAAGAATGTAAAGGAGGATTACTCCACACAAGCGCTCAATGCCCAACAATGGGATAAGAGATGAGTTGTGCCAATGACAGGGGAAAAATAATAATAATAATAATAATAATAATAATAATAATATTTACAATTTATATTATTATTATTATAAAAATTATTATTATTATTATTATTATTAAATCTCTGGTCATCAATACGTACAGACCAGCCATCTATATATAACCTAAATTCATTATTTGAAATACCATTGGAACTATTTATTTAATTGTAAATGTTACTTACATCCAACTTTCGTGTGTTTGGTTGAGTTTCTATTTTAGGGGGACTCACGGCCGCAACAAATTCATCATCACTGTCATCTCGATCTGAAGAGATGATATGTATTTGTCCACTGCAAAAACAAATTTGAGATAAATCAGCCCTGTTCAGCAATAATTAATGTTATTAGATGTGCTTTAAAATTTAGAATTCAATGAATATTTGTTATGAGTTAGAAGAACAAAAAGTTGTCCAAGGCAATCATAATTTCACTCGCATATGTCATCACGAAGATTTGAAAGAAGTTTTCGATTTATCATTCTTCACAAGAACAGATGAACAGTCTCTTCAATTTTTAAAATTAATACACTTTCTAAAACCCAAAAGATATGAATCCATTTAAGTTGTTGAATCAGAATGCACTTGTGCATCTCAGATAATACCGATTAACTCAATATCATTTTTCATTTACCCCACATACATTACATTCTTTGTGCCTATGAAAACAAAAGTAGAAAAAGTAGACCCACCAATGAACACATAATGAGTACATAACTACAATCAAAACAAATGTATTTTGGCACCACTGGGTCAATAATTTGCCATCAGTGCATTATCACTCACAAGAATTTTTGTTTAGTAACCTGAAAACAAACAACTATTCAAAAACAAATGAATATCCACAATATGGGCAAAGTAATCGTCACAATTTAAAAGAGAGAAAGTAATTATCGTGAATCTTCAGTAACATAATGATGACATATGACACAATCACATAAGAATACTCTCAAACAGAATCATTTGGATGTAAAGTTATTATAAACGAGATTGGAAATCTTTTGAAATACAAAATTCACAGAATCGACAAGTGTTGAATCAGATCCAAATAATTATGAAATCCAATATTTAACTACTACTCTACAGATTTCAAGGAAGATCAATACAGTGAATTCTTATCAAATTCGAAGAAGCTACTTTTAAAAGATAACCTAATCACTTATACATCCTAATTACAAAACTATTTTGTTTCTTGGGCAAAAATTTTGCAGCAAATTCATTACTTCCTAGTTTCGTTATACATATTGCTTATCCACCATCATCTAAAATACGTGTTCAACAAATTTCACACAACATCCAGAAATGAAAAAATGGTCAACAATTACATATTCGTTGCGTGCAAGGAATTGTCTTTGTCAACAAACGCTCGCCACAAGTGCGATTATCCAATTATGCCATTAGAAGACTTAACGATAAACGTACTGTCCTCTTTCAAAAAATGAATTTAACTGAAAAAGAAAATTAGTTGCCCAAGATAACAAAGTATAGAAATTCCTTTGTGTAATTCAATAATCACCTATTTACCAACCTCCTTATTAAGTACTGCAAAATGGTTGCTAAATCTGCATCTTGGTCAGAACTATCATCTGATCGTGATCGCGAATCACTATCGTCCATTCTTCTAGATGTAGAAGTTCCCATGCAGATAGAGATACGAAAACTTGTTCACTCAAATGAAAAATCTTTAGAAATACTATGCACTAATATATTTCACTCGAGTCTCACATATTATATTACGGAAAACGCGTCATGATCATGCAAATGTTCAACAATGACTTGACAACAACTTATCAGCATGTACGATTCACGATAAAATTACAATTCATTAGGGAGTTTCCAGCAAAAGACGTAATTCCAAAACTATCAAAACACCACCACGACCACCACAGCCTGATCAGTACAGTGCGCACCAAAATTGTATCGGATTATGCGAACAAATCGAATCGTACAGTATAGAATCGATATGTGAGTCGAAGCAACAGTATCGACATATTTTTTGTTCAAAGCGGTTCGAAAGGCTCTGGAAAGGCTTTCGAAGAGTGTTCCAGGAGTGTTCTTTGCATGATGGAAAGGTGGTTTCTACCATGGTTTCTTTCCACCATGCTCTACCTCATGACGGGAAGGCATCCCCCAAGATGGAAAGTTATATTTTTATCATGTGCTACCCGGTATTAGATTTATTGCACTTCCCCGTGAATATTTTATTTCCGTCATTAAAAATAATTTCCCTTCCAACATTTTTCACTAATACAGAATACTGAAAAAATGTTCATCGGTAATTCTCTGATCTAAATTGAGTATCTGAGGTTCCTTTCTTTATTAATTAGTTTTATGAAAACTTTCATTTATTCTCGAAACCCTTCTCAAGTTACAAAGTTTCTAAAATATTTCATGTATTTTTTCTGTTTATTGAATAGTCAGTATTTTGAAGAGCCTGTCAAAGTAAGGGAAAGATCCTCTCTATAATTTAATGTATTGATCAAGGTCCTTGTGTCAAAAAAAAAAAAAAAAAAAAAAAAAGGGGGGGGGGGGGAGCAAAATAAGTGGGCGCTGATAGCTTCTGTAGCTTCCAGTACCAGAATTTGTTTTCTCTCAAGCTCAACATATGAACACTTTATGTGATAGGTGGACCAAATTATTGTTTACATTTATGTAGCATTTTGGAAAATTGAGTAACAAGATTTTGACATAAGTTTACTTCAATGATGATTGAAAAAACTTCTCATAATTATTAAGTGAGATCACTTCTTATTTTGGGAGCAATGATAGCTCTCTAGCCCATCTTCCTAGCTACATGCCTAATCGTATTTTGAAAATTTTCCATAAAAAGACACTTGTACAAAAACATCCAAAAATTGATTATCCTTTTCTACCTGTCCCAAAACCCACAACCCCTCACTATTCTTAAATTGTCTTTCAGGATATCATTGAATTTAAGTGTGGTTTTTGACATATTTTTCTGGTCTCCAGAAAATTATTTTTCTTTCAAACAGTCATTAACAAGAAATTATCACTATCTTTACCATAATCTACTTTTCTACTGATAGGCATTTTTGAATCACTGGTATTGGGGTTTGTTTTCCAGTTCTTCAACTATTTGATTTTCTGATCCAGCTTCTCTTTTACTATTTGTGCTGTGAATTTTCAAACAGTAAAAAAGATTGTATAGAAAAGTAGATTTGAAAGTAGGCCAATAGACAACTTTTTCTTTACAGCAAGCAAAATTTATAGTATTTTTAGACTACTTTATAATCGACCAAAAAAACATTTTGAAACCTAGCTTTTCAATACAAATTTCCAATATCCGACAAACGAAGGACATTTTCAACTTTACCATTTAGTTAAAGTTGAATGACTAACAAGTTAAAGTTGCTCTCACCTCTTCATGCTAAGACAGTGTAAAAGAATAATAAGACTGCAATGTAAATTTTTTACTTAAGTTCTTGCTCCAAAATAGATTTAAAAGAATCTGAAATTCTCCAAGTTAAGAATAAAAATTAAAGCGTCAATTAATTATTATTTAGATGTTAGTTAATTAAAATAAATCTTCTCTCATGCCACGAATAAAGTCATTTTTACAGTTTCATTTGTGATATATCTTTCAAATATCATATTCATTGCAAAAGTTTTAGTAATACTGTAAAGGATTTCAATTTAATTTCTGATTGCTTTCAAATCAAGTCTCCATAATTACACATTATGTTTTATGAAGAATTCATACAAAACATAAAACGTGTTGGCCATAAGGATCCCCTTCAAAACTATTAAGAAGAACAATATACATTTAATGAGTTTTCAAGTTATTAAAGTGCATTCTTTGATAACTATTTGTAGTTTTCAATTTAATCCTTTGAACCACTAGTGGATCCAGGGGGGTCCCCCAAAAGGACTAGAGTTTTTGTTTACCTTCCTTTATTTGACAAAATTGATTCAGATATTTATTTGTTAGAATTATGTTATAATTTAAACAATAATGTTATAGTATCATATCTACAGTACATAAATAATATACAATATAATAACAAATGTTTATTATTTAACAAAAATCTACAATGCCCCCCCTCCCTCTCTCAAAATGATGAGGGGTGCTGGATACACCCCTGCTTCAAACAGACATCAATTACAATATGTGCATGATTTTTAAAACAATTTGGCCAGCATTGTTTGTATATCATATGATGAGCTTCGAAGGTCTTGCAACTAAGGAATGTTTGTGGATATTTCCTTAACAGTTCAAATATTTCAACCGCACAATGTCTGCCAATACAACAAACCATACAATGTCATCAATGTCTTCTAACATGCTTGATTGACTTATAAATGAGCCTATTGGAATAAAAAGCTAAGAAGCAGATAGGTAATTAACCAGTTTCACATCAAAATCTAAGCATTGTGTATCTTAACTTTTATTATAATATCTAGTTAACTCCAGAACAAAAAAAAACAAGTAAATTTTACTCTGATTTTTACTTCTGAGCCCCAAGTATATGTTGAGAGGAAAGCCTCCTTTGCTACAATGCTGTCCTGCCTCCGACTCAATTATTGTTATTGCTAACTAGTTGTCTAATTTGGAAAGTAGCTTTTTCAGTCAATTCTACAAATTGTTTGTTTATAAATTTCATTTTGACAGTATCTTATGATCTTGGAAACATTTTGAAAACAATTGTTTTAACAGCTAATAAAAAATTGGTAGTTGGAATCAGAACTACTATTCGTGCAAATGGTTCTATTGATATTCACGAGAAGAAAATTGTTTTCATTTCAAATGTTCATTAACTTGGAAGTTTTATAGAAATATTTTTTCATCAGCAGACCAAATTTTTTACTGGGAGAATAATTAAAAATTCTTAGTTTTCCAAAAACTAAAACCATGTCAATTTAGGCCTCAGGGGAGAAAAAACAACAACAAAAAAAAACAAATTTCCTTACATGTTTTGTTCCTTACATCTTTTGATGTAATTTAATAATTTATAAAGTTAAAGAACATACTTCTAAATTATACTTGTGTTAAATTTTTGATATTTCACATCTGTTATTGTTTTAAATATTTATATTCATTAGTTTGATTTTTAATCAAAATATATTTATTTGTAGATTAGAAGTATAAATTAAGTGAAAACCATTGAACAAAAATAGATTGCAGTTAATAACACATCTACTGCCGTATTCTTCTTCTTACAAATTATAAAATAAGTTTAAAAAAAAAAAAATTATATTTACAGTAAAACAGGAAGAGGTGACATGCCTGTTTACCTGCAATACATGTTACATTTTATTTTCTGTCATTGTCAATAAGACATGAAATGTAAATAGTATATAATGAATAGATAGAATAGAGAAGCAAATGTTAAACTAAAAAATAGTTTTCACAGTTTGCCCAAGTCACAATAAATTTGTTAATTCTAATTTGGAGCTTTTTCTATTCACAAACTTTTATAGTGAACACATTGCCATAGAATTGCACAGCAAGGAAAAACAAAATGCAGTCGTTGGTGTAACAATATAATTTTGGTCACTGTTTTACTGTTCTTTTACTTATTTTGAACAGATATTTCAATGGTTAATGTCAGCCGTGAAGAACCTTAAATTTAGTGTTTTGAAATATAAAAATGCGAAGTACCAACATTTTTTACATTTTAAAATATTCATACCATTAATGCACAAACACAAATGAAAAATTATAAGCCAACTAGGAGAAGAGATGACGTCACTATAAGGTCGCCAGATTTCCAAGCATTGTCCGAAGTGGCAGATTGTGAATGTCTTTTGATCTATGGGTTAAGAATTCAATCCATGTACCTGAGCATTAGAATTACCTACATATTATATTATGTGAATTTATTTTTCCTATTTGAAGTTTCACAGGTTCTTTATTTTTAGAAAGCAGACAACCTTACTTAACATCCGAATTATAATTATTAATTTTAAAGCAAATTTTAAGTGAGCTCTAAAAAAATATGAAATCAGCTAATAGGTTAAAACAAAAACCTTTTTAAATATAGTTCATAATAGAGATTTAATTTCCAACATTTTAATAAATAGTATATAATGAATCAATCTCTTTCAATGAAATTATGAATTGTGTGCTCAGAAAACATGGATATGGCAGGTAATAAAATACAGCGCTATTTTTTTCCTTGCCCCAAAACACTTGCCAAGTAGAAACAAAACAAAAAATTAATAATTTTTTTTATTATTATTTCAAATAAAATTTAACTTATAATATTGTATCAAAATAATCATTAAAATTTCACCACTGGCTCATACAAACAATATGAAAACAACAAAAGCATGAAATAAAGTCGTGTCAATAAAATACAAATTTAAATAGCTAGTATTGACTTAAAAAAAAAAAACACTTACATACACAAAAGTTTCCAGTAAGGATTGTATTAGTTTCAAATCTTAAAACTGAGGGATTGAGGGGAGGTGGTTCATTGAACAAGTCATATACGAACTTGGCAATATTGAATAAATGTATTTGACTGTTCAAACCATGAAAATAAGTTTTATGTGAAGTTAATTTAAAAAATATTGCCTCAAAAAACTAAAAATACCCTCTGGGCTGAGTTTTTTGAAATAAGTTTTTTCTAACCCTTAAGAGAGCAATTAGTAAATTAATTTCATGATTAACAATGGTACTATTTTCATTACTGGGATTTCCTTCATTCTGGACAAGTAATGACAAAGCAATTAGGTAACTACATTTCCTTTATCTCCAATAACTTAAATGTAATGTCGTGGGCCACAGCAACATTCCTTTTCTTTTGTTGATAGCCACTATTTTATTGATATACATCCTCAAGACAACATTTAAAAGTATATTTTTTTAAACTTTATTTATCATCATTGACCACTGACAACTATGAGGCATGAAAGAAATAATAACAAAGGATAATGCAAAAGAATATACTCCACACATAACATTTAATGCAAACGAAAGAACATTTTAATAGTAGTATATAAATAAACCATTTAAAATAGTAAAACAGTAAATTTTAATCTAAAAATAGTTACAATAATAAATTATAATAGCATAAATAACAGGCTTGCTTTAAAAGTTTTTGAAAATTAGATACCATCTTAAGATCATTCACAATATTATATTTGATCTCTGTAAGTTTCAATTGCAAGCTGTGAATGCAATATATGTACATCAGGGTCAGTCATATTTATAAAGGGAAATATAGACTACATTAATCATCAGTATTTCTTATGAGTGTCAGATATTAACTACTTTTCTCCAGATTTCAGAAGAGCAAAAATAGTGAATAGGATTTGTAAGAACTTCATTAACTTCAACCATTACATTTATTGTTTTGCAACATAACATATTTAGTGCAAAATGAAATCTTATTCCTTATACATTTCAATGAGACAATAGTACACAAAAACTTTCCTTCCATTACAATTCAATATAAATAAAAGTCTTCCAAGGCAAAATTATCTCATCATCAGCCTACACTCCACCCCAGAAGGGTTTATGAGGAAGACCTCATTCAGCCCACAACAGGCAAGATAATAATGCAGCTTGGAAGAGCCAAGACTAGCACAAACTGGGTAAGCGTGTCAGTCTTGGCTGTTTGGTGATGTGCCTGGTTAGTAGAAAAGCACCACTCTAACCAGGCATTTAGCGAGCTCATCCACCAGCACTGCAATCCGGCACAGTACCACCAGGACCAAAGCCACCCATTCTCCGGCGAGGAGGTCGAGGTGGACTGCAAACACACATGGCAAGAATTTCTCAATAATAAACCAACACACAAAAAACTAAGCATTTAAAACCTAACAAATTTAACCTAAGTTTGTAAATTGGTAAAAATAACAATGAGACTTTTTTTTATTATACTTTGACAACTATTGAATTTCTATTGATAAATGGCATTAGAGTGAGCAATATACAGTTGGTTTAACTATATTACTTGTAATAGTAATTTAAGTTAGAGACTGAACTCTCTATACCATACTAATTAATTGTGTTTGATGGATTTACCTCACAACCCCTCTGTATTGATAAATTTCCATATAACGAGTCAAAGAACTTGGGTTGGGAACTTGGGAAGAAGTTTTCATTTAATGTAATAATGTTGTAAATAATTTAACAATAAACAAAAAAGAAATTTTTATTGCCAGCATTTACATTTCATTCCATTCCAAGTGTTTTGAGTTGAGAAATAAGGGAATATTATACATTTTTTTGAAGATAAATTTGTCTACTTATTCCCCCACAATGTGGGTATGACGTAATAATCTCTTGTGGGATGAAATATGTTTAATTTCTTAAATTAATAGTGAAAACTGTAATATTTCATGTTCTTGCCTTCAGTAAAATTTCACCCCCTCCCCCTGCCAAAAAGCAGAAAATTTGAAGAAATATTTTCTACTCCATGATTACACTGAATAATAAATATTACAAGTCTTCTTTCTTACCAACAATTCCCTTAGTTATTCTGAAAGGATTGAGTAAATGTTGCTTTTTCTAAAAAAAGCTCCCTAGTTTTCGTAGAAATATTCCCAAGTCACTTAAACAGTTAATTTACTAACATTTGAATACCTCTAATCTCTTGAACAGTGCTTATTATGGACCCGTTTCCAAATTTGTCAACACTGAATTAAAATATATTTTCACTCCGATACTAATTTTTGTAAGCAAATAAGAGTAGTTTCATAAAATACCTAACTTTTCAGCTGAATGAACACTAGAGAAAGGTGCTTTCAAAGTAATTAGTTATTTCCCCACCACAATTACAGACAATTGAAAGCAAGGTGTAAACTTGCATGTCACTATCTTAATATGCATATCAAAGATTAACAAGTTCTAAGTTTTCTAATGCTGTGCATTTCTGGGTTTAGAATATTGTATTTCAGTATCTCTTTAGCTTTACATTATTTTGGTTACCAGTAGAGACTTTTTTCTTCTTTTACATAAATAGCTTCATTAAAAAACTCAAAATGATGGAAGCTCTCTATTGATTTGGGAAGCAGATTGTGTCATCTTGGCCATAAAAACGTTTTGACATAAAAAGGAGTTAAAATTTAGCAATTCCCATCATTAAGGATGTTTGTAGTAATTTACTTTTATGTCAAAGAAAGTCATCAAATGGAGTGAACAGGCTCAAGTTAAGTTAAATCAAAAAGCTTATATTTTACATTGTTTTTGTCAGTGTAAAGAAACATGAATTAATTTTATTATTTTTTATACTTAAATGCTTCCAAGACTCCATACGATAACTCTTAACACCATTCAATTAATCAAGGTTTTTGGTCTATAACTTCACTTTTTATGCACTCTTCAAATATTTACCACTCAAAACTGCAACAGGATGGGATAATCAAAACATTTTCACTCACCCATTTCCTGGTTTGTAGTCTCGCGTATACTGATTACCATGTTTATTATAATCTGGATTAATTAATGTTTTGAAGCTACAACAAGACATTTAATCATTAGTTTTAAGGTCAAGTGACATTATTCAAATTACATCCAAAAGCACATATACTCACAACATTATTATGGCATTGAAAAATGCCCAAAAGAAAGCAAATAGTCTCGATAGACCCCATGGAGCTCCTTCACGGATTGACCCGTCTGTAAATTAACAAAATTAGTCTGAATAAATAAAAAACTTTTACGATATGAAATCTTTTTAGTAAAACGTATAATACTTACCAGAAGCTATGTACACCATTTTACGTTTCCACCTTAAATTTGCCCTTCTTGTATCTCTGATCAACAACTTTCACACAGCAGACTGGAAAATCAACACGTCAGTTCTTAACCTTGTTGAAACTTCCCATCACTTCCCACGCAATCTGCATGTATCATTCTCAACTTTCCCTTCCTGTCCGATGGTTCCACAGAATACACACTCTATTTGTAAATGGGTGGTTCTAGTTGGTTCTCTACGATTCTCTGATTTTCCTGCTTGTAATACTCTCTGGATGAAGCATATTGGAACACGTTTGTGCCAAAGAAACTTCAACTAAAGAATTTGAAAGTTGAAAATCGCTTCAAGATATTCTGTGTTGGCGGGCAGTTTGAATCTTCAATGATTGCTCATGCGAATGAAAATTTTATAAATGCAATGTTTCTCTCGTCGCATTTTAACATTTTCTCGTTGATTCACTTGACGCATCTCGACATATATAACAAGTTTTCGGTGTACATATTTACTTCATGATACAAGTTACAAAAATTCAAATATTGCCCAATGAGGGTCATTTTGGCTTTCAAATCTAAAATGTGTTTTGCGACGGCTGTCCCATCAATATCTAAGAAAGGATCGAAATTATTGTGATATTCTAGCGCACATTTTGAATAATGTATATTATTCAGCAGTAGGGATGTAGCAAACAGAAATATTATTACTCCATAGTGTATCTCACAGGCGACCAAGGTGCTAATTTGAAACTAGTGGTGCTTAAACCGTACTTACTTTTTTGTATTCCAGCATTAACCTTTTCTGTTGCAAGAAATCGTTTATAAACGGGCATTTTACGGCACAAATGATCACGTATTAGATTTTATTTTACGAAGGATTGCGTCATCACATATTCAGCCAATCGTAGCCAGAGAATCGGGGGGAAGTAGAGCCGGGAAGTAGAATCGGGGGGAGAGTAGGACGGAACAGCCGATCACCGTTTACTCGCACGATGTCAAATACCCCAGTCGTTACAGAGAAGTTGTTTCGCAAAATGAAGTTTGATTATCTTATAAATGTATAATGCTGTTATACAAAAAAGTATGCAACTTGTTTATAATGTTGCTTTATTACATTGGTTCAAATTTGAAAACTTGCTCCTAAAGTCGCTTGTTTTCAAAACATGTACTCTTGCAATAAAGCTTAACATTATAAACTAATTGCATAAACTACTATGCTGCTCCTTAGTAACGGTTATGTAATAATATATCGCATTTCTGACCAAATCAATTACTTGCTGCAAGAGTCATGTATCGCGGTTTACAATACTGATACAAACGATAAATACAATTTTTTTCAACGTTTTCATTTAATTTTAACACATTCTTTCCTCTTTAAAAGATAAAATTTAATATTTAACGGAAAAGCAATTCTTTGATAACACATTAGGATATCATGTCAAAACAAACGAATTTTTTCTTTCATTTCTAATCACCATAACTTATTTCAAGGTTTTTCCCTCTACTTTAAAAAATATAAATCATTATTAAGAAAAGCCATACGGCAGGTTAAAATCATGAAACATGACCGGGGTATTTTGAATTCAAATAATAAAACAAAAGCAATGTGGAATATAGTAAAAAATCGACCAAATCTTGTAGATAATGTTGTTTTAAAAGATAATGATAGAAATAGGAACGATCCGGCAACAGTGACTAGTCGCTTTAACCAATACTTTTCGAGAATTGCTGCCAATCTCACGGGTCTTCAGCATCAGACGTTTTCCCAAAAATTTCAGGGACGATGTTTGTTTACGAAACTTCTTCCTATGATATTCCCAAAATAATCGGTAGACTTAGAAATACATATTCGGCCAGTTTAGATTAATTTCCGGATTATTTATTAAAGGTTTGCGCGCCTGCCATTATACACTCAGTAACTCGCATATTTAATGTGTCCTTATGCACAGGATTTTTTTAGATATTATTAAAACAGAGAAGATTATTCCGCTTTTCAAAAAGACAACAAAAATAAAATTCAAATTATCGGCCAATTTCTCTTTTGTCGGTTTTTCCAAAATATTAGAGAGATTTTTTTACGTACGAATGGAAACATTTCTTATGTTTGTATTTCTTATGTACGAATGTAAACACGACGCGTTTTCAGATTGCCAACATGGGTTTCGAAAATCAAAATCTATAGAAACATTTCTTTTTTTTAAAGATGTCGCCTCATCCATGGATCAAAACCTATTGCAATATTTTTAGATATTTCAAGATTTCGACGTCATTGATCATGACACTTTACTCTCAAAATTACCTTCTTATGGAATTCGTGGTGTTGCTCTAGATTGGTTAAGTTAGTAACTTAAACAACAATCTCAGAGAGTAGAAATACCTTACTAGAATAATGGAACATTATGTACACGCGTTTCTGATTCTTTGCCAATTGCATCTGGAGACCCGCAGGGATCGATTTTTGGCCCTATTCTCTTCCTACTACACGTAAACGATATGCCCTCAACGATTAGAAGCGGAAGAACAGTTCTCTTTGAGGATGATAGGAATATTCTTTACAATAAAGATACTGTAAATAGTACAATATTGGATATTTCAAATTGGTCCCGTAATAACAAATTAAGAGTAAATAAAAAGAAAACTGTTTCAATGCAGTTCTCCATTTCAAATAAACAGCTCGGTACTTCACTGGAAATGGACTGTTGTTAAGGTAACAACATTTTTAGGTCTTTCAACTCAGTCAAACCTTAAATGGAAGTCCATTTAAATGAATTGAACACTAAATTAAATTCTTTATGCTACGCTTTCAGAATTCTTTCAAATTTAGTCAGCGTCTACACTGTTCGTTGTGTATATTTCGCAAATGTTCATTCTCGCCTGAGATATGGCATAATATTCTGGGGAAATAAATTTTATAGCTCCCAGACTTTTATATTACAAAAACGAATTGTACGAATAATAAGCAAATCCCACCCACGTGATTCATGTAAGCCTCTCTTTATTAATCTAGGTATTTTACCATTAACTTGTCCTTCCAAGCTTTCGTCTTGTGGCCGAGAGAAACCACAAAAACCCCAGCATTTGGCATTTAACTATATTAAAAAAAATAGAGAATGGGAGATATTGTTCCCCTTTTCTTTGGCCGAGTGAGGGAATCCTACGAGCAAAATGAAACAACTTTTACAACGTGTTTTGAATTGAATCGATGTCTTGTTTCACTCGAGAAAGGGCGACACTCGGACCATCAGCCCCGCTCTTCCGCCTGATCACGCAAATTTCGCTACGCTCCTTTCACCCACTAGCGGAGATAAGTATTTCTTAGGTGACGAAACAGGCGATTTGAATTTGTGTCAGCGGCTTCATTTCGGTTTGAGGAACTTTTACATGCAAGTAAATCTACTAACATGGGACAGCCGGCCATGTACTCCTTCGTACTCCTCGTACTCCTTACTTCTCCTCAGAAGGAAGAAGTACGAAGGATTAATTATTAACGCCCTGAAAGATCGCCGGATTCGATCGGATTTGAACCCGCGAACTTTGGTACATCAGTCTGATACGCTAACCGTTACGCCATCGCCGCCGCGTAGTGCACTACAGCCGCGTAGTGCACCACAGCCTAATTTTTAGACAGCCTCAATGAGTTTCGTTTTATTTTAATTTAAGAATACACATCACTTAATTATAAACTATGTGACATTAAGGTTAGCAGAAGCAGGTGCGGTCGGGAGCAAGTATTTTTTTTCCTTTGTTGCAACTGAAGATTAGTTTACAGTCTCACTTTCAACACTAAGGCTAAATATTGAACTTTTAGCACGTCGTGCATGGGCTAAAAGTATTTCCTCTTGCTAGTGTCTGTCTAAAAATACTCTTTCTTATTAATTTTAATAAATAATAAAGAAACATTTAATTTACAAATATGTTTTGTAAACAAGAATTTCAAATTTTCTTCTCGATTGGAAACCTAAATTGTTTTAATCTTTCCTTCCGTAATCCTGCCATAAGCAAGATTCGACATCACCCTAGTCCCTCGGTTAATCTAACTCTAAACTACTCGAAATATATCCAACATAAACAATGAACAATGATATTACTTTTTGACCAATTACTGCTGAATAGAAGCATTTTACAACATTAAGGATACAGTTTTCTTTCTCACCCACATTTCATCACACACATGTTAGTGGTGATTGAGAAATCATCGTTATCTCTAGTGGGTTGCTTTGTAATAAAGCGAACGCGTCTTGATCTATTTAGAGGCATTTAGAGACTTAAATACATCACAAAACTCACATACACATAACATTAACTAGCCTGTACCAAACATTTCCCGCAGAAGAAGACGCCTTTATCGTGATGTATATCTACAAAGTATAGAGTCTTACACGGATTGGTTTCACATGTGCCACATTGTTGGAAAATAATTTATAGATTCTGTCGTATTTCTTTCTCGGGCAACAGGCGGTAACGGGGGCGGCGCGATCTGGCGTCGTGTAGCGGTGGCACGGGGTCACGTGATGATATCAGGTCCAGCACAGGTCCGGCACGGGCCGCATCAAGAGCCGGGCGGCATAAATCTTTTTAATCTCCGCTCGGAGCCTGTGAAGCCCGGCTATTATCGCGGAAAGCGCTAGTGATAAATAGCGAGAACACAATTAATAGCAATCGCAGAGAGCGATCTGAGGTCGAAGGAAGGACCGATGTGAAATAACGCTGGCGCCGGTACAGTGGTCGAATTCGCTAGTGGATGGAAGCACATCGACACTGTGCTTGTGAGTGGTAACCTGTAATGATTTTATGAATAGTTTATAGACGTATAAACCTTTTCGCTAAATCCGTTTAGAAAGTCTACCTTTGCAACGTCTATTTCACTACTTCTAAAACTCACTCATAATTGAATTAAGGAAGCAAACTATTTGGGATATCCCCTAAATGGTAAGTATTTGGGATCCCCTCCATAACTCTTTTATATATTAAGGTGAATTATGAATGCAGATAGCAACGGCCGTTTTTGGCTATTATTGATAAGAAAATATTCGCATACTTTCAATTATATAAATAGTGTCTGTAAGCTTGACAAAGTAATCTGCAGTACTAAAGTGTTTATCTTTTCAATATTACACGTTTGTCAAGATTTCAAGTTGTAGAAGTTTTCAACATGTATCTTAATCTCAAACATTTTCCGAACCTTATATTTCAATTTCACTAACATTTGCTCACTCCGTATGTATAAATACGCATCATGATAAGAAGCATAAAATAGATTTTGTATTTTGAAAGGTAGGTTCAGCCCATATTATACATGTTGAACAAGTTCAAAAAAGGTAATA